AATTGGCAAGTGTCTTTACGACGGTGCACAACGGTAGGGTGTACTACCTCGGCTGAGTGTACGGTGTACCTCGGCCGAGCGTGTGATTAGTTCGGACGAACCGGCGAACGAGATTGATCTCCCACAGTAACCTAACGGTTCTCTCTCTCTCTCTCTCTCTAGTCTCTAGTACCTAGTACGTACGGAGTACGGTGTGCTAGCCTAGTATCTGACGCTCCCCGGAACGACCACAACACTTCCTTTGCTGCTCCCAGCTCCCCCACCACCTCGCGTTCGGCCGCGGCACATGTGGCGACCAGGGTACGCCAATGGACCTCCCGTTGGAAAATCCCGCAAGGCCACACGGGCACACGGTCCCTGGCGCTGGCTGGCCCGTCCGTCCGGGTCCGCGCCATCGACGCCCAGCCAAACCAGCTGCCTTTTTCGCCGCCCGCCTGCCATGCCGGCCGTTCGGCGAGTTAAACACGCCTGCCGCGCAGCGCAGAGCGTCGGAGCCGCCCACGTCAGCCGGGGCGACCTCGCTAAGTTGCCATAGGCCAAACGGGACCGGACGGCAGGGGAGCGAGAGCGGAGGAGGCCACAGGGCCAGCCGGCCAGGGCACATGGGCGGAGCGCCGTGAACCTGAACCCTGCGGAATCACGGCACAGGCAGGCAGGGGCAGCGACCTGTGCTTGCCTGCGTGCTACTAGTAGCAGTCTCAGGAATCACGACTCCTGCCTGTGCTCTGCGGCTGCCCTGGACCACCAGCACCGGCTCGCCTCGACTCGTCCCCTCCTCTCTCTCTCTCTCTCCTCTTTATTTTACTGCACTCCTCCCCATGCGCTGCCTGCGGGCTGCGGCTGCGCCCCGACGGTGGCGTCACCGCCAGTGAGCCCAAGGCGCCGCTCACTCGCGACTGCGCTGCGCAGGCGCAGGCGCAGGCCCCTGGTCAACTCGTAACTGCGATTAGCGAGAACTCTTGTCTGATTGCTCATGTCACTGGCTCGTGTGGTGTGGCCGTTTTTCCTTCACCATTCAACCGTACTGCTAAGGGCCGGTTTAGTTTCCAACAAAATTTACGTAGTACCCATTACATCGAATCTGACGGCATAAGCATGCATAAAAAACTAATTACACAGTTAGGTGAAAATCGCGAGACGAAACTTTCAAACCTAGTTAGTCTATAATTAATCACTAATTGTTAAATACAAACGAAAGTGCTATAGTAGCCAAAACCAAAAAATTTCGACATCTAAACGCGCCCTAGGTCTCCTAAATTTTAATAACTATCTCATCGAATGTTTAATACAAAACTAAATACACACAAATTCGTTCACACATATTATTAGAGAGAATTTCTTATTTGACACCAGACAAATGACATGTTTCTTTTTTGGCCCTAAAAATTTTTCGTTCCCTATTTGAAATCGAGTTCAACTTTCATTCCTTATATGACACTCCGTTGCATTTTTCGTCCAGCCACCGTTAACTGCGCTGTGAAAAGACGATTTTGCCCCTATGGGCCCCACCACCCTTCTCCCTCCTCTCCTCCGCGCCCTTGCTGCTATCACTGGTTGCTTGGCGCTTGTGGCTGGGGCTCGACCTCCGCGCCGTGCTCCGCGTCCTCTCGCGGGCGGCGTCCAAAACAGCGGTGGCGAAATCTAGACGACGACGAGGAGGCGGCGGTGGCCGTCGCTGGCGCGTGCGGCCGTGGGCTGCTGTGGCGGCGGCGCTGGTCAAGCGCTTCAGCGTCGGGGGACCGCAGCGTGGCTGGGCAGCACGGCTGGGACCTCTCCGTCGCGCTTCCCGCCCTCGGGTGGCTCCCGAGCCCTCGCCGGAGTGCCGTCGCCGTCGTGGTGGACGGCGAGATGGCGGTCGTCATGGGGACATGGCGGAGGAGGCTCTACAGGAAGACCAAGGCGTGGCGCCCCCTGGGCGGGCCCGTCCCTCGTCTCGCGGCCATGAAAGCATGTGTCCATGCGCGACGGACGAGGAGGCCTGAGCACCGGACCTCGTCTGTCGTCTTGTGCAAGCAGCGGGATTTTCGGTGGATCTCGTCTCGCGTGCCGCCGCCCAGGGCGGCCAGGGGCGGGAGCGGGACAGGGCCAAGGTCGGCATGTCTATCTCCGTCGACGGCGATCGCGTGCTCCACGTCCGCCGCCTACGCTGGAAGTTCCGCGGCACCGAGAAGGTGGACCTCGGCGGCGGCGACCGCGTCCTAGTCTCCTGGGGGAGGACGCGGCCACCTGGAGAGGAGGGAGAAGGATGGTGGGGCCCACATGGGCAAAATCGTCATTTCACAGTGCAGTTAACAGTGGATGGATGAAAAAAGCAACAGAGTGTCATGTAAGGAATGAAAGTTGAACTCGGTGTCAAATAGAAAACGAAAAAATTTTGAGGGTCAAAAAAGGAACGGGTCATTTCTCTGGTGTCAAATAAGAAATTCTCTCATATTATTAACGGATTCTGTAATTTGTTTTCTTATTAGTATCCGAACACCCCATACAACATCCACATGTTACACCTCCTACAAACATCCCCTAGTTTCTACCGTAATAATACAACTTTGTCAATAACATGTTTATTATAGCAACTTTGACCGTCCGTTTCTTCTCACGAGATGATGATGTTCGTACTCCTACATATATTCAATGAAAAATCATATGATATGAAAAGTTTAAGAAGTGTCTAAGAACCTTTTATCGAGAAGACTCACTGCTGCAGTAAAATCTAACGACAAATAAAAAAAGAAAAGTATGTGAGTTTGTAGCCGGTTGCAATTCTGACAAATCGAAAAAATAAACATAGCACACAACAACAAAAAACCTATATACTTTTACAATATTATTCTCCATTGGTGTTCATTACACAGAAGCAACTGATTGCACCAGTAAACTCTATACTTTATTATATCACACATCTGTATATATCTATATTGTACATATTTTTAGAATATCACATCTACTTACAAAGTAGAGTTGCAGGACAATATATGTCAACTAGAATTGTATTCTTTATAGGACTCAGGGAGTACTAAGAAAATCTTCTTAAAAAACACACTCCTTGTCTATCTTAGAGCCTCTTTAGATGAGATAGAGACTATAAGAACTGACTCACTCCCACCTTGATCCCTCGTCATTCCTACTTGATGCCAAGCACTGCTACATCCATTACCCTTGCCCAACCTCCTTTGCACATCTCTACCACCAGTTCCCACCATTAGGGATGCAAACCGTTTTGACTATGAGCGCATGAATAGGCCTAATTTTTACGGGTTATGCGGTTAACACCTCTAAAATCAAGTCTATTTACGGAGTTACAGATAATCACGCTTACATCTATATCCACTAGGGCACCACAGTATGGGTTACTACTACATTCCTTTATGTTGACCAGTCTCACCTTGACGCCTTTTTGTCCATACCTAACCCCTCCATCGTCCTCGATAATAGCCCCAAACATGCAGCGCCCACAAACTACTTCCACCAATAAGTTATTTTCCTCTTTGTCCATCTCTCTACGTTCGGGGGTTACAAGGAGGCTTATCAAAGCTTGAACCTAATAATCCATACAACGTCGGTCCAAACTCTTGCTTGAACACTGAGTGGAGAGGTGAAGAAAAAACTCAGGTGTTAACGACAAAGGTCATGAATGGAGTAACATATATAACTTTTGCAAAATGTTATCACTATCAATGTTTTATGGTGAGTATGTACCAACAATTCTTTTTGGAACATCCCAGCTCACCTTACTTGACAACACGCTCCATTTTCAACAAGTCTTCATGACTTTTTGCATCACTTGACATCTTGGTTTAAAATACATTAGAAAATTAAAATATATATCATTCATAGCGAATTGAAGTCGTTGTTCATACAAAAGAATTTAATCGCCATATATGGAGTGCACGAGACTATCCTCTACAAGGGCATCTTCATACTTCTCCAAAAGTACCCTTTACAAGGGTAATGCAATGTTTTCTCAACAAGCTGCCTAATAGGGAATTTGGTCATTTGCACTATTTTTCATACAACGTGCTACAAGCTGGGGCTGTTGACTTGTTACAGTCTAGTCCCTAGGTTATTAAAGGTGGTACTCACTCCGTCCCTAAGTAAGTGTCATTATTGCTTTCTGAGAAATAATTCTAACTAATTTTATATAAAAAAAATAATATTTATGGTACATAATTAATATCATTAGATAGATCGTTAAATTTATTTTCATAATGAATTTATTTGAAGATACAAATTTTACACATATTTTTTACAAATCTAGTTAAACTTACAACACGGAGTCGGAAACAAAAAACAATAGTTATTTAGTGATGGAGGGAGTGTGTTTTTTGAGATAGACAGGAGGGTTGCCCCCTACTGAATATTAAAGGTAGTATGTTAGTTGGTTTCAGTTTCAATTATGAAAAAACTACGATCAACAATCCAAAACTAAAATAAATAGGCCCAAAAGTAGACTATTAGATTATATAATATGTTTTCTCTGTTTTATTATATAAAAACACATTTTTTGTTTGCCAAATTTTTAGCAAATATTTTTGTCCAACTTATAGTTTTTTTTTGACTCATCAAATCTGTGGTAAATATTTTTTTACAAAACTAACCTCAATAATTTGCAAATTGCAATCCTGGTGAAGAAATGGCAGAGCGAGCGGTAAAGCTCACCGCCAGTGAGCGGAAGTGGGCTGTGGCTCTCCCTGACCCCGCGCCCACACTGCACTGCCCTCTTCTTTATCACTCGCCCCGACGCCGCGCTAGCTTCTGACCTGACCACCGCAGCGCGGAACACAAAAGCTCACCACCACCAGCACCACCCCCACAGACCTCGCCTGCACGTCACGGTTACCGAGGCTATCCCAAGCAGGCGCTTCCGGCTTCCGGATTTCCACCTCTCCCTTTGCAAGCAAAAGCGGCGACACCTTCACAAATGCCGCAGGGCGCCGTGGCTGCGGTCTGAGAGTGCGAGCCGCGCTACCGGAGGTCCGGGTCAGGCGGGGGAGCGCATTGCGATGGCGGACTCGGCGGCGGCGGACGGGAAGGCGGACAAGGTGGCGAACGGAGGAGGAGGAGGCGGCGATGCGGCGGGGGAGGGGAAGAAGAGGGGGGACCAGGCCGTGGCGTTCCACGAGCTCTTCTCGTTCGCCGACAAGTGGGACCTGATGCTCATGGCCGCGGGCAGCCTGGGCGCGCTGGCGCACGGCGCCGCCATGCCGTTCTTCTTCCTGCTCTTCGGGGACCTCATCAACGGGTTTGGCAAGAACCAGACCGATCTCCGCACCATGACCGATGAGGTCGCCAAGGTCCGTCAGTTCTTCATTCTTTGCTCACCCGTTTGTACTTTGTTGCCTATCTCGGATATGGTTTCTTTCGCCAAGATCACCGCTTCTCGTCTCAACTCTCACCTGTGTTTATGTCATGATTTATTTCCTCTGCTCTTCTCTTGCAGTATGCGCTCTACTTCGTCTACCTGGGGCTGGTGGTCTGCGTCTCTTCTTACGCAGGTGACCTCCCCCTATCCATCCGCCATTCCCCGTCCCCCTCGAGTTCCGTACGATTCCCCTGTCTTCTCCGACGCACCATGGTTCTTGTCAAGCATAGTAATGGAGTACAGGGGCCTATTCGCGAAATAGGATCTAGGCCTTTATTAGTTCCTTCAAAAGTCTGCTCATATCTGGTCGAACGTTTGACACACGGAATTATTAAATATAGACTTAAAAATAACTAATTACTCAGGTTGTGACTAATTTGCTAGATGAATGTTTTAAATCAAATTAATTTATGATTTAACAATATGATACTACAGTAACACATATATTAATAACTAATTAATTAGGTTTAATAGATTTATCTTACAGATTATAGACGGATTCTGTTATTTATATTTTTTATTGGTATCAAACATGGCCCTAGTGATGGCCGGTGGGGCATCTCGAGGACCACCCCCACTCAGTTACACAAGTCCCGTCACCATCACACCAAACGGGGAAAAGTTAACAATTACTCCGTACATCATGTTTGTCTCGTTTTCGTGTCGACGAATCCGGAAAGCGGGCTCGCCGGCGTCCACCATGCCGGTCGGCTGCCGGCGGCGTGGCCTGCTGCTTCAGTCTACAATGGCGTTTGCAGACTTCCGCACTATCGTTTCTTGCACACCGACTGAAGCTGCATTTTCTTTCGTTCTCCAGAGATCGCGTGCTGGATGTACACCGGGGAGCGGCAGGTGATCGCGCTCCGGAAGGCGTACCTGGACGCCGTGCTGCGGCAGGACGTGGGGTTCTTCGACACGGACGCGCGCACGGGCGACATCGTCTTCGGCGTCTCCACCGACACGCTGCTCGTGCAGGATGCCATCGGCGAGAAGGTCGGCAACTTCATGCACTACATCGCCACCTTCCTGGCCGGGCTCGTCGTCGGATTCGTCTCGGCGTGGCGGCTTGCGCTACTCAGTGTGGCCGTCATCCCGGCCATCGCCTTCGCTGGCGGCCTGTACGCGTACACGCTCACCGGGCTGACTTCCAAAAGCCGGGAGTCCTATGCCAATGCTGGCGTCGTCGCGGAGCAGGTAACAGCGACTCTTTCCTCCTGCCGTGTTTCCCGTGGGGAACTTGGCTGCTACGGGTATACTGCTGATTTGTGCCATTATTATATATATTTCTCTTGGCTTAGGATTAGGATTCGTGTTCGATAAATCTGTGCATTTCTTAGTGGACGCTTGGACTTGGGATAGAATTGGGCTGGTGGGTTGGTAGTATTTCCTGGTGCTGTCTGCTGATTAGGAGCCAAAAATCTTGTTTTTTATGCTGTATAAGACGACTGACCAACATGCCATTTGTTCTTTTTCAACTTTTTATGCTTTGGGAATCCTATGAGCCATTCCACAAACTTGGTGGGGCAAGTGCCTTGTGGTTTTCTGCTTTTCACAGGACTTGTTTGGCTCAACTTTTGGTATGGTGGCGCAGTCGCCCCATTTTCTACTTGTGGATTTATTTCAAGAGGGCCTATTTGCACAAAGTTGATCGCGCAGTGAAAGTAGTAAAAATAACTAAAGCCTGTTTAATTTAATCTAAGTGACTAGGTTTGGTAGCCTATGCCTAACAAAAGGAAAAAGTCTATATAACCTCCTCACGTTTGGCCTGTGGACTACTTTAACCCCTGAAGAATAAAACCATATATCCAACACCCTAAAATTTGCCAAACCATTCAAAAAAAACCCTGCACTGGTTTTGCTCACTTGGCATTCCACCGTGGCAAAGGAACATGCCGAAGAGTAGAGCGTGTGCGTGGAGTACGTACGGGTAGTTGGGTACAAGTACAACGCGTAGGCTCGGCGGATGATGAGCTGCCTCATACTTGGCGCGCAGCCGGGGCGACGTCGCTGCTGCCGCGCAGTGCCCGCTCGATCTCTGGTGCTGCTTCTCCGTCGATGCGCTGCTGCTTCTCCATCGATGTGTCGCCGCTGCCGCGCACTGCCCGGTGTCGCTTGGTTCGTTGGCAACGCAGCACGAGAAAGCAGAGAGACGAAGCAGCTAGGCAGCTACTACCTAGCGCGTGGACGAGAATGGTGGCGACGCAGTTGGAAGAAGTCTGGTGGCACGCAGCGCGTGCGTGCATGACCGGACTGTGAATTGATCAGAGGCGCTTGGAATGCCGGCTCTCTTACTAGAGTCCGACGGGTACGTGTTAATTATATCGAGGAAGAGCCCCTCGAGTGGCCACACAAATAGATGTGAGTACAGAAGCTAACAAGCCGAGAGAGCTGGTCGTGACTCGTGAGTCTGTTACAACAAGCTATCTTCACGTATGACTACATCAACACAACTAAGGCCCTGTTTGGCAGGGCTTCTCCACCGGCTTCAGGAGCCGTTTAGAGCCGTTTAGAGCCGTTTCCTACCAAACGGGGTAAAGTAAAATAGCTTCACTTGTGAAGCCCCTAAAAACATGCTCTCATAGTGATTTGGGGTGGGATGGAGCCAAAAAAAAGTGGCTTCTCCCGGCTCCTTCTCCAGGCCCCTAAAAACATGCTCTCACAGGGAAGCCATTTTGCCAAACGGTTTACCAAAACCGCTTCAGCTCCACCGGTGGAACTGTTCGTGGAGCTGAAGCAAAAAAAAATGGCTTCACTAGTGAAGTGAAGCCCTGCCAAACGGGGCCTAACTATCACGACCATGCAAATCAAGAGTTTGTTAGCTGATATTTATACAACTCCACAACCTATCCTATCGAAGCCACAGCCCACAGGAGATAATTATCACGTCTTTCAACACGGGCCTTATATAAGTTAAAGCACACGATCGAGCTGACGATGACGAGCAGACAGCCAGACATACGAGAGAGTCTACGCAGAAGAGGCCGGGCTGACGAGAGTTGGCGCTCTCCTCCCCCTGCACCCCGCGGAGGCGCGAGCATGACCACGAGATCCAGCTCCACCGCGCCGGAGTCAGCACCGCCACCGTCTCCCGCAGTCCCGCTCGGCTGCTCGTAGGAAGGACTGTGTGAGAAGGGTGCCAGCAGCAGCAGCGAGCCAGCGACGACGAATGAAAAGAAGCCAGGGTGTGTGTGTGTGGGTGGGCGGGAGCAGAGGGAGGGGCGAGGAGTTGGTGTAGAGGTCAATGGTGGCGGCGACGTGACTGCAGCAGAGCCGTGGACGACGGCGTGCTCGCTGGCGAGGATGATCTTGCCGGCCGCGCGAGCGCATACTTGCACTGGTTCCCGATACCCCGTCATCGTGCCTGCAACTGCAACTGGATCCATGACACCGGAGAGAATGAGATCGGAGCAGCGAGGAGGCCGGTGGCGTTCTTGGCTCTCGAGCTAGAGGTGGCCGGTGGTGTAGTGCATCTGCTAGCGTCGCCAGTCCTCTCAAGTCTCAAGGTCAAACAGGTGGAGCCGCCAAAGCAGCTGTGTGTGATGGTGGTTGGGAGCGACAGCAGATGCAGCCGAGTCGTGGTGTCTCCTTGTGGAGGTGTTTTGGCGGGAGCAGAAGGCTATTTCCCTCCAGAACATGTGCTGTCCGCTCATGTGAATTTGCTGTCCCTCAAGATACAAAGGGCCCACTGCCAACATGTCATCCTTTGCCACGGTGGAATGCTAACTGAGAAAACCGGATAGCAAAACCAGGGCAGGGTTTTTTTTGAATGGTTTGGCAAATTTTAGGGTGCTAGATACATGATTTTGTACTTAAGGGGGTTAAGTAGTCCACAGGCTAAACGTCAGGGGGTTACGTAGACTTTTTCACCTAACAAAAGGACAGTTAGGTTGTTTTTTGAAGAATCTATTGACCTTTAAGTTGATTGTACAAAAATGATGCATATTAATTCTGTGCACAGTTTCGATTGTGATATTTCTTATATAGCCTGTCAATTGTGGCGTAGGTTGTTTTTTGAAGAATCTATTGACCTAGTTATTTTCAGTTGATTGTGCAAAAATTATGCATATTAATTCTGTGCACAGTTTCGATTGTGATATTTCTTATATAGCCTGTCAATTGTGGCGCAGTACTGAATAAAATTTAATCATGTAACTTTGTTAGGATAATATATTTTGATTCTTTTATGGGTAAAATATGATCACTGTGAAACATATGTAGTGTTAGAGAGGATTCTGGGAATTGAGTGAACCATTTTTAACCATGTTTCGTTCATGAGCAATTGTTGATAAGAAGGCTGCTGAATGCCTTTGTTCCTTTCCATAAGGAACCGACATACATTGTTTTTTTAAAACCAAAATGGCATATATTTGTTCATCTGAAATTACAGTTGCCTTGGATTCTGTCAATTTCCTTTTTTGCAGTGTGGAGTACTTCTCTCTGCTATGCCTCTACCAGCAATAGGTGGAGTGTTTGTTTGAATTGTTTAATTGCCACAGTTGTGACTTGACACAATCTTTCTTACCCCTCCATAGTCCATAGACATATTTGGCAAACATTGCCTTGTGTGTGGTGAGCAAATTATCAGCCACACCTTAGGCATGTTTTGGCAAAGAATTGTGGCAATGACTAGAAGGGAACCAAACATGGCCTAAACAATTTAATTTGTTTGTCATACTATGTACACATTTTTTTTGACAATCTATTAGTCACTATGTTGTAACTTGTAAGAATTAGTTTCTTGCCATTCTACTTATTTGGTGACTGAAATAATTCTGGAACAGGCAATTGCACAAGTAAGAACAGTGTACTCTTTTGTTGGAGAGAGCAAAGCGCTCAATTCCTATTCTGAAGCAATCCAGAACACACTGAAGCTTGGTTACAAAGCTGGGATGGCCAAAGGTCTTGGAATTGGATGTACTTATGGGATAGCTTGCATGTCATGGGCACTGGTATTTTGGTATGCCGGGGTCTTCATCAGGAATGGGCAGACTGATGGTGGAAAGGCTTTTACTGCGATCTTTTCTGCAATTGTCGGTGGCATGTAAGTGAAAAAAGATGTTGATATTATTATAATTATGTTTCACTTATTTTCCCCGGTCCATGAGCTGTTTCCCTCATGTCTTGTGTGCAATAACTGCTTAATTGTTTCTACAGGAGTCTTGGTCAGGCTTTCTCAAACCTCGGAGCCTTCAGTAAAGGAAAGATTGCTGGTTACAAACTGTTGGAGGTCATTCGCCAGAAACCCTCCATAGTCAATGATCATAAGGATGGAAAGTGGTTGGCAGAGGTCCATGGAAACATAGAATTCAAGGAAGTTACTTTCAGTTATCCATCAAGGCCTGATGTTATAATCTTTCGGGATTTCTCTCTTTTCTTCCCTGCTGGTAAAACGGTTGCTGTTGTTGGAGGCAGTGGGTCTGGAAAGAGCACAGTTGTGGCTTTGATAGAAAGGTTCTATGATCCTAATGAAGGTAACATCAGACATCATCTTAGAGGCTGTTGATTTGCTTCCTTTGAATTTATGGCTCCTTTTAAACTATTGGCTAACTTCATTTGCATTGCAGGCCAGGTTTTGCTAGACAATGTCGACATAAAGACACTCCAGTTGAAGTGGCTGAGAGATCAGATTGGTCTGGTAAACCAAGAACCTGCTCTTTTTGCAACAACAATCCTTGAGAATATACTGTATGGAAAGCCAGATGCAACTATTGCAGAAGTTGAGGCTGCAGCGACTGCATCCAATGCCCATAGTTTTATATCTCGTCTTCCAAATGGTTACAACACAATGGTGCGTCTATATTTTTTCCACATACGTGTAAGTCGGGCCTAATCAATTAAATATTAATTTCTTCATTTTTTTCATTCACAGGTAGGTGAGCGAGGCATCCAGCTCTCTGGTGGTCAGAAACAACGTATAGCAATAGCTCGTGCTATGCTGAAGAACCCAAAGATTCTGCTCCTCGATGAGGCTACCAGTGCATTAGATGCAGACTCAGAAAGCATTGTGCAGGAAGCTTTAGACTGTTTGATGGTTGGGAGGACGACTGTAGTTGTTGCCCATCGTCTGTCCACTATAAGAAACGTGAACATGATCGCTGTGATCCAACAAGGCCAAGTTGTTGAGACGGGGACACATGATGAACTCCTAGCAAAAGGAACCTCTGGAGCATATGCCGCCCTTGTCCGTTTTCAGGAAACAGCACGGAATAGGGATCTTGGAGGTGCATCTACCCGCAGGTCACGGTCAATTCACTTGACAAGCTCACTTTCCACCAAATCTCTCAGCCTAAGGTCTGGAAGTCTAAGGAACCTCAGTTATCAGTACAGTACTGGAGCGGATGGTCGCATTGAGATGATTTCTAATGCTGATAATGACCGCAAATACCCAGCACCACGTGGATACTTCTTCAAGCTTCTGAAACTGAATGCACCTGAATGGCCTTATGCAGTGTTGGGGGCCATTGGTTCTGTCCTCTCAGGATTTATTGGCCCAACTTTTGCCATTGTTATGGGTGAAATGCTTGATGTGTTCTACTACAGGGACCCCAATGAAATGGAGAAGAAAACTAAGCTATATGTGTTCATCTATATTGGCACTGGCATATATGCCGTCATTGCTTATCTTGTGCAGCATTACTTCTTCAGCATCATGGGAGAAAATCTTACAACCAGGGTTAGGCGGATGATGTTGTCTGGTATGTATTTTCTCCATTCTGAAATCAGTTTTTGTGGTGTCATTTGAATATGTTGTGAATCTCTACGATATTCACTGCAGCAATATTTAGGAATGAAGTTGGTTGGTTTGACGAAGAAGAAAACAATTCAAGTCTTGTGGCTGCACGTCTAGCTGTTGATGCAGCTGATGTGAAGTCGGCTATAGCTGAGAGAATATCAGTCATCCTGCAGAACATGACTTCCCTTATGACTTCTTTCGTTGTTGGATTTATCATTGAATGGAGAGTAGCAATACTTATTCTGGCCACTTTCCCTCTACTTGTGCTTGCCAACTTTGCTCAGGTAATTTCTTTGCCTACTTTTAAGTGATTGATGTCTTTCTGTCATCTTGAGACTTAACCTACTGTTCAAGTCCATCTTTAAGAAAATATGAATGCCAACACGTCTTGCCAGTTTAGTTGCTTGTCTAAATCAGAACAATTCGTAGTTTTATACTGGCTGTGTAGAATATGCACTGATGACAACTTCACTATCTCTCAAATGAGAATGTTGTTTCTTTTTGTGCTTTCAGCAACTTTCAATGAAGGGCTTTGCTGGTGACACGGCAAAGGCACATGCCAAGAGCAGTATGGTTGCAGGTGAAGGAGTGAGCAATATCCGCACCGTAGCGGCCTTCAACGCTCAAAGCAAAATCTTGTCACTCTTCAGCCATGAACTGCGTGTACCAGAGCAGCAAATCCTCCGCCGCAGCCAGACATCAGGTCTTCTGTTTGGCCTGTCGCAGCTCTGCTTATACTCCTCAGAAGCGCTCATCCTCTGGTATGGTTCTCATCTTGTGCGGTCACATGGGTCCACCTTCTCCAAGGTCATCAAGGTTTTTGTTGTCCTTGTGGTGACTGCCAACTCCGTAGCTGAGACAGTGAGCCTGGCCCCAGAGATCATCCGCGGAGGTGAATCCATCCGATCCATCTTTGGCATCCTCAACAGAGCAACAAGAATTGAACCTGATGATCCAGAGTCAGAGCGGGTCACCACCATCCGAGGGGACATTGAGTTGCGGCATGTAGACTTTTCGTATCCAGCACGCCCAGACATTCAAATCTTCAAGGACTTCAACCTGAAAATCCAAGCAGGGCGCAGCCAAGCACTAGTCGGAGCCAGCGGTTCAGGGAAGAGCACGGTCATTGCTCTCATCGAGCGGTTCTACGACCCGTGCGGGGGGAAAGTGGCCATTGATGGCAAGGACATCCGAACGCTGAACTTGAAGTCCTTGCGGCTCAAGATCGGCCTCGTGCAGCAGGAGCCAGTCCTCTTCGCTTCGAGCATCCTTGAAAACATTGCGTACGGCAAGGAGGGTGCGACCGAGGAGGAGGTGATCGAGGCGGCCAAGACGGCGAACGTGCACGGCTTCGTCAGCCAGCTGCCCGATGGCTACAAGACGGCGGTGGGCGAGCGGGGGATGCAGCTGTCAGGCGGGCAGAAGCAGCGGATCGCCATCGCCAGGGCGGTGCTCAAGGACCCGGCCATCCTGCTGCTGGACGAGGCGACGAGCGCGCTGGACGCAGAGTCCGAATGCGTGCTGCAGGAGGCGCTGGAGCGGCTGATGAAGGGGCGGACCACCGTGCTGGTGGCGCACCGGCTGTCCACGATCCGAGGGGTGGACCGCATCGCGGTCGTGCAGGACGGGCGGATCGTGGAGCACGGCAGCCACAACGACCTCTTGGCCCGGCCGGAGGGCGCCTACTCGCGGCTTCTGCAGTTGCAGCACCATCGCGTCTGAGGTCTGATGCCGCCGTGCATCCTCTGATGATATATTAATTACATGGATGATGACATCTTCGTTTTGGAGGTCTGGGTTGGCAGGTTCTTTTTCGGTTTCTTGGGTTGGGCGGTGGTCGTTCGGATGTAGATACTAGGCCAAACCGTGTTGTGTTCTTATGCATAAACTTGGAACATGTGATCTGTATGACTGTATCTTCTCCCTAGAATGGAATGTACCATGCAATGCAACTCCTCTTCTTTTCGTCCACCGTTCTCCGTCTGTTCTCGCATTCTGTATCATGCAATTCAACTCTTTTCGTCCACCTCTCCTGATCTGTCCTCTCATTCTTTGGCAGTAATAAGTTTATCGTGAGATCAATGGTAATGTGATTTTGAAGAGGAACCGATCCGAATGCCCCGAGCAAGCGTAAGAACAGATAGGGAAATCAATGGAAATTTCAGTTAATTCCTCAACTGCACATAGGCCGTAAACGGAGGCCAGACCATGGAGTAGGCAGCACTGCAGGCCGCAGCAGAAGATCAGGCTATCCTCCTAAGAGCGCTATCCAAAGAGCTTCTGCAGCAGACGCCCTCGTCTTATAGCATTTGCAAAAGTTTTTTTTAAACTCACTCGCTAAATAATCTTTTAGAGAGCTACTTGCATAAAAAGTCGCGCTCTATATCTTTCCATACTCCAACAATTATTCTATGTCTTATGCGCACTCTAGAGAGCCAATCTAAACATCTAGCTCTCTATCTTTGACTAGAAAGAAAATCCAGAATAGAACATGTCAATATTTGAAGATCTAAAAACAACTCCAAAACCTCTTTATATCCTTCCTAATTTATAGAAATAGAGATTTTGGTGAAAAAAACTCTCCAACTGTTTATTTAATTATATCTATAAAAACAGACATCCTCAATTTCGGATTTCTCACTAAAAAAAAAATAGAAAGCGGTGCTGGTTCTCTATAGTGCGTATAAGATATAGTTGGAGAGTGAAAAGATATAGAGATCAATTTTTATTCAAATAGCTCTTCAAATAATGATTTAGATTGTGAGTTTAGAAAGGCTCTTGGAGATATTCTAATTAAAGAAGCTGCTCGATGGCATTTTTTTCATCAAAATCCCTATCACCATTAATAATGAAGGTTATAGAGAAATTCTTAAAGTTGTTCTTACTTCTGATCTACGATAGGAAAAAAAACTCAACTCCAGAAGAGTATCTCTTAGAGGCTCTCCTACAGGGCACTACTACACAATAGTTTTGTAGGGGCGGCTCCAGAGGCTTTGTAGGGGCGGTTTGTTTAGCCGCCCCTACCCAAATGTCTCTACAAATCATGTATTTGTAGGGGTGGTTCCCAGACCGCCCTTACAAATCGTTTTGTAGAGGCGGCTGGTGTTACCAGTCGTCCCTACAAATCGATTTGTAGCGGCGGCTGGTAACACCAGCCGCCTCTACAAAATTGATTTGTAGGGGCGGACGTAGTACCAGCCGCCCCTATAATACATGTTTATAGGGGCGGTTCAACAGTACATTTTTCCGCAATTTTTTTTTCAAATTTACAATTCAAATTTGACCCGTATATATATATATATATATATATATATATATATATATATATATATATATATATATATATATATATATATATATATATATATATATATATATATATATATATATATCAAATTTGAGCATATGTACAACCCAATGTCATTACATCCATTATCATATTTAGATTAACCAAATTTAACAAGTTTCACAGCATCGAATACATACCACGTTGGAGTGGGAGCTTATCAAAATCATACAAAAAAACTCAAGAGCATATCAAAATCATAAAATAGCTAAGTTCATCAATTCTGATAGCTTTTCCATTGTTCTTGTTTCCTGCACATGAGTGAGCGAGAAATCAGAAGTTAGGATGATGGGTTGCAAATAAAAACCACCAGTTATGAGAAATGAAGACACAACGATCTAACGATATGTTATTGTTGCAAATTTAAACAAAAGTAGATGCCGACTTGAATAAGAAGCTAACTCATTCATACAGGAGACAAATCTACTAAAGAAAATGTGAAAAAGAGAGGACCGGACAACACTTACGCCGCCACCTCAGAGATGAGCCGAAGCACCGACGAAGATGGACCGGCATGGCTGCGTAGGATTTGGCCCGACGCCACTCCACCATGTGCTGCGGCCTAGCACCGACGAAGGGGCGCTAACTGCTTGAGGAGGCACCCAAGGATCCGACCACATCAGATCTCCGCCCGCTCGCATCGGATTCAGATCCGGTCGCGCCAGCCCTCAATCCAGCACCGGGGACGCCACCACCCAAGATCTGCCGCTTGGAGGATGGGCTCTCCCTAGATCTGCCGTCGGGGAGCACACCAGCCCTCGATCCACCGACGGGGGACATCACCACCCTAGATCCGTCGCCGGATGATAGGTCCGCCTTAGATTCGTCGTTAGGGAGCGCGCCCGCCCTGGATCCACCGTCGGGGGGCGCGGCCGACCTAGATCCGCTGCCGGGGGGCGCCACGCGTGCCGCCGCCATCGGTACGGGCAGGCCTTACCTTGCTGCTTCGGACTCCGGAGGGATGGCGAGGCCGCCTTGCTGGCGCTCCAGCAGATCTGCAGCAAGAGGAGTAAAAGAGGTCAGGACGGGGAGGTTCTAAGCGGCCAGCAGAGGGCCAAGGCCAACCCTGGTCTCCACTCCACTCCACGCGGCCCAGGAAAAGTAGGTAGTGGAGTAGGGGGTGTGCGCCCAGCCGCGAGGAGAGGGAATAGGCCGGCGGTGAGAACGGCGCAGATCCGGCCGTCGGATCCACGAACCGCGTCCACGCAGTACAGCCCGCTGGCGGAGGGGTGCGTAGACTCACCCGGAACAATGGAGGGAGCTCGACGGAGCGGGGCCGTACTTTCGCCCACGGAGGAAGGTGGAGAGGATGGACGAGCGAGGCGTCTGGAAGTCGCGCGGTGCGGCAGAGGCGGCGTGGCGGATGGCGGACATCGGGATTCAGGGAGAAGCAGCCGCCGAAGGTAGGACGAGGCACCTAGGATGCGGAGTCATGCTGCGGATGAGCAGCTCGCCAACGGCGGCAGTAGGAAGCACGCCGTCGGGGACGGGAGGAGGAAGAAGAAGGTGGGGAAGGGAGGAAAAAGGGTGACGGAGATAGAATAGGAAAATCTGGTTAGGGTTTGGGAAGTCCGGCGGTTTTGTTCCTGGTGGGACGAACTTCGGCCGTTGGATTCAGACCAAGGGCTTAGATCATTGACAACCTTAACAGGCCTGCGGGTTTTAGTGGCCTACAAGCGAAAGTGGGGCCCAAGTCCAGGTTTGGAGCCTGCGGGTTTCGTCGGCAGCATTTGTAGGGGTGGCTGGTGATTGAGCCGCCCCTACAAATCGCAACACGGGGGCGGCTGATGAGTGAGCCGCCCCTACAAATCGACTCATTTGTAGGGGCGGCTCGTATCACCAGCCGCCCATACTGTTCCATTTGTAAGGTCGGCTGCTCTCATGGGTTCCGAGCACGCCCACTGTAGGGGCGGTTCCATCACCAGCCGCCCCTACAAAAAAATTGTTCCGTTGCTATAAACGTTTTTTTAGTAGTGGGGCCCTTCCTTTTTCTATTTCCCAACTCTCGTCATCCATTTCTATCCGGATCCATGGTGCCCACATGGCTCCTTCATAGGCGCCCTCATCTCGACTGGCTTCATTGCACACGCGACCTCCCGATAGCCTCTACCTCACCACCGCGGGCTCCTCTCCATAGACTGCCTCCCTATTCTGAGCGCGCCTCCCGCCGAGCCTCTCCTCCTACAGTGATAGAAGACGAAAGAAAAGAAAAGAAAAGAAAAATGCATTCAGCTGACAGAAGGGTATCACTTGCCATAAAAAAAGCATGAGCTTAAAATGGAAAGCTATTGCTCAAGTTGGAGTAGAAATTTAACTATTTAAGGATTGGAAAAACAAGGGAGACGCTCAAATCTTAAGCAGATGTTCTGATGTAGGGCCATTGCTGGAGTGTGGAGATGCTCGTCTTCAATTATTTCTTTGAGAGGCCCATGTTTTTTCCTTCTTTCAGGGAGTTCGGCCCATCGTGTACAAAAATGGTGATGTTTCTCCGGCCAATAATACCATGTGTGGGCCTAATGTAGGGTCCTGGTGGACCTCCTTCTTCCTGTCTTTATACGCTCTCATCAAATCGTAACAGTATTCCTAAAAAAAAAAACGTAACAGTACCTGAAATACCCTGGGCTATGGTGCTTCATGCGAACAGTATATAGCTTAATAATAAGCTTAATCAGACCGTCCACTCTCATAATGGCAGAGCACAACCTGACCAGGCCCGCAATGAATTAATGGAGCCGAGGTGACCCTCCGTGCCAGCCAAACTAGGCTTTGGTCGCTGGCACGTCGGGCTCTTCCCCCGGCTGCACTCGGCGGTCGTCGTAGCCGTACGCTCGGTACCAGTTCCCCCCTGTGCAGTCACGATACGCGCCCCCGTGTCGGTACGCCTGGTTCCTCCCCGGTTGGTGTCACGTTGCCTTGCACGCGCACTGTGCGTGCATGGGGCGCCGGACTGTCGCGTGTCGCCACACAACACGACGCCGCGCCGCGCCGCCCGCTCGCCCCGTAGAGAGATGGATGGATTTGCTTGCCCGGCCGGCCGGTCCGCGCGCGGTGTACTTGCGAGCTGCAGCAGCCGGATCGGAGCGGACGCGCCGCGCGCTGCCGGCCGTACGCATGCATGAGTGAGCGAGCCGTGGCGGCATTGTTTGTATTGGTTCGTTGGTGTGTTTCGTCTCCCATGGTTGCGGTTGCGGCGCACGAGTCCGGCCGGGCGGTTGGTTGGTTGGTTGGCCGCGAGTAGCTAGAGCGGCGACTGTTTGCTGCGATCCGCGAGGTATCCGGCGCACTGTTGCGCCACAGGTCGGCGACGCTTGCTGCTGCTGGACGGGGGGAGGCGGCATGGGGCATGGGGCAGCGGGCAGCCCCCGCTTCAGCGCGT